CTTCGGGGATCTGGACCGCATTTTGACAGGGGTCTTCGGTGCCGATATTGGGAACTCCTGACTCTGACTCGGATTCGGGTCCCGGGCTGGCATCTGATCTCGCACCTGTGGTGGGTGACATTGACGTGACTCCTGACATTGTCGTTGCATCTGTTGCATCTGGTATATTTGGTATCGACGTCGCATCTGTTGTAACAACTCTTCCACTGTCTGAGTTTGATTAGCCATGACTTGGGGTTGAGGCTGATCTTCAAGAGGCTGACGTGGAATATTATTAGAATTGCACTGAGTTGCCCCATGAAACTGACGGGGTCTTGATCCGGCGAAATTGTCCCTCTTGCAGACCATCTGCTGCAGGCACCAGAGAGAGGGGGAAACGGGAGGGGTTACTAGAGATGAGGTACTAAACCACTTGCCTATTGATCTGTTGTGAATGGATTTTATGATTCAAGTTGTTTAAGCAAACAACCTAGTATGGTCGCATCCCCACCAATGACGCAAACCATACCCCTACACACAAGCAAACAACACACGATCTAGAAGCTAACGAAACTACTCTTCTGGGACAGATTGGGTTTAGGTCAACTTCGGGAAAACTCTTCATGATCTTCGCGGAACGACGACTCTGAACTGATCTTCTCGCTCCTTGCACGAAGCTTGAGGCTCGACTTGGCTTGACTTCCGAACAGACATGAAGCTGACGGCTGGTCATCTAGGTGTGACAACTAAAAGAATTGGAGAGACTGGGAGGAGAATTTTGAAAAACCGTTTCGCAAAGAAAAGCCGAAGGGCGAGGGGAGACATTTTGCAAATAGGGTTTTCAGAAAGCTTGTCCTTAGGGTTTGCCCATTTGGCTCAACCTACAGTCGAGTTGGCTCTGATACCACTTTGTCACGCCCAGAAATTTAGCCCAAATTTCCAGACTATTTTGTGTATTAAATCCCTGTCCAGGACCAGCCAGGGTACACAAAACGACAAGTAATATACAGTTCCAAACGTAAATAAAGCGTAAAATACTTACAGAAGAGGCACTTAGTCCTCACACCGAAACAAAAGCAGCAGCAGCGGAAAAAGGCGATCCTAGCGGGCTTCAGCTCCACTCCACAGGCAAAACTCAACTGAGGTCTGAGCCTTGGTCTTCCAACTTCGTCTTCAGCTCAGAAGCACTACACTTCTGAAAAGGGGGAATAATAGCAAGGCTGAGTACAACCACCGTACTCAGCAAGCCACACCAATGATGCAGACGTGCAAAGGGATACAAGGACGGTTTGTGGCTATTTGCATAAAGGCGGTTGTAAAACATTTTATTGAGCAAAACAGTAAAACTGTTGAGTAATTAAAGTAACATTAAATCTCCACTGATCAACGCTACACCACGTTGAACAGGCCCAACCAACCCACCTAAACTACAGTGTATTGGGTCGATTTATTAAGTGTGAGACTAATCACGGTGAATCTGGTCGATCGCCCATAACCGCGGGCACGGCTATTCGAATAGTTTTACTCTGGCCAGAGGTGCACAACTGTACCCACAAGACACAACCCACCGACATGTCACCGCGTCATCATGTGCCCATGATGCACACGTCACCGTGTCGAGTGATTGTGACGAGACCCTTCGCATAACCCTCCCCTAACCATCCACACCACGCTAAGGTTTCACCCCCACCCCTCAAAAGGCAGTGGGCGGTCCCCTCTTGCGCCGCGGTGAATCCGGCAGCTGGACAACCGGACACCCCGGCCGACCCAACTCCATCACGCCCACCCTCGCCACCGGTGCCTAGGAAAGGGGCGAGCTATACTTCAGATCAAGCAGTTACCCACTCCCGCTTGTGGCAAGCGCTGTAAGTCTTCCAGGGTTTCCCGTGAACCGGTCCTTAATTGCCATGGGTGCGACTCACAAAACCACGCACCCACAGCCCACCATTCAGTCGCATTTTAGTTGGATAATTACGACCATAAAACATGGCCAGATGTCTCGAGCACGCGGCTCAACAAGATACTAGAATGTCTAATACTGCAATTATCCCATCGACTGAGCTAGTGGTAATTAAGCATGGCTAAGCATATAGTTCTAGCTAGGTCACATAAGTAACACAAGCTAGTCGATTTATTACCCAGGGTTGACAAAGGATAGATACCAAGTAAACATGGCACAAGCGAGCAGATAGGTAAACCCTGATCCCATGTAATTAGCAAAACATGCATATTTATTTGTAAACGGTAAAACATTTATAAATTGGGATCAACATGCTCAAGGGGAATGTGTGACTTGCCTTGCTTCTTCACTTGGATTTTCTGAACTCTTTTCCTCGCGACCGCGGACTTCCAAAACGACGGATTCTACACGCTGGCACGCAAAACGAGGAAAAACTCTAATAAAAACCAAGGAAACAGTACATAAAAAGTAAACAAACATGTAGAGCTCAATTTTAGATGAATTTTGCAAGTTGAACGGCTCAATTCGGAGTTCGAATGAATTAGATATGAATTTTAGAAGTTTTGAGCCATTTAAATGAATTTCTAGAATTAAACTCGATTTATTGCGCAATTATCATTTATTTTTACAAAGGAAATGGACCTCGCTGACGTCATCAAGGGGGAGGGGCGGCGCCGGCAAGCGGGCCCCACCAGTCAGCGGCACATGGGCGCCGGTCCACCGTGGACCGGGACCACCGAGGCTGTCCACCGCCGGTCCACGGGAACCGACGGCTCGGATCGGCACAAAGCCGATCGGACGGTCACGAGGCGGCGCGGCTGGGGCACGGGCACGGCATGAGACCGGCTCGGCCGAGCCAAGGCGCGGCGGCGGCATGCGGCCACCGGCGGCAGCAGCCGGCGACGAGGAACGGCGGCGGGCGGCGGGCGGCCGGAGGACAGCGGCGCGCACGGGGACGGCGACGCACCCCAAGAGGCGGAGGTCGGCAAGAAAGGGGAACGGGAAAAAAAGGAAGGGAGGAGAGGTCCTCACCGAAAGCGGCGGCCGGCGCGGAGGAAGATGACGGCGACGACGATTGCCCGATGGCGGCTTGCGAGGACGGAGGGCGGACGGGGTCGCCCTTGACCTTCAGAAAGAGAAGAGGGAGTTAGGGAGGGGAGGACCGATGCGGGGTGACCGGTAACGACGGCCGACCGCGACGATGTGAGAAGGATCTCACCGATGACCGAGGAAGGAGGAGCTCCGGCGGATTTTCGGCGAAGAGGGGCGGCGGCCGAGGTTCTCCTCGTCCTTGCGAAGCTGAGGGAGGCAATGGCGCGGGTCGGCGTCGACCGAAGCGGCGGCGCGACGCGGCTGGAGTCGGCAGCAAGCGGCGGAGAGAGGTTACACGGTGGGGAGGTGGTTCCGATGGCGGTTGAAGGAAACCGAGTGGCGACCGGCGTGCGGCGCGGGATGGCGAAGCTGGCGGTGGCGGCGGCTCGGCGCGGCAACGGCTGTGGCGGCGGGAAACGGCGACTGGAGTTCGCCGGAGTGTGGCAGCGCGTGGGTGCGGCGTGGGGAGAGCGAGGGAGAGTATGCCGGGCTCGGGAAAAATGGGGAAACGGACGAGGGGAGCACGGGGATGCTTTTTATGGGCTCGGGAAGGCGGGATCGAGGCCGGACGTGGCGGAATCGGCCGGCGAAGTGGGGCGCCGACGTGGGGTGGTGGAGGGGTTAACCGGCGCCGATTTTCGCGGGGAGAGTGGGGGAAATGGTGGAGGACGTGGAGGGGATCGTGCCCACGTCGTTGGATGCGAGCTCGGGTGCGGGAGGGCGCCGGATTTTGCGGCGACGTGAACGGCAATGGCGGTTGGGGTCGGCCGGCGAGAGGTAGGAGGAGGAGCTGACGGGTGGGACCGCCGGTTCCACCTGTCGGCGAAGGGAGAGAAGGAGGGACGCAAAACAGACTTTTGCGAGCGGGCCAAGTGAGAGGGGAGCCGGCCCGAGAGAGGGAGAAGGCGCGCGGGCCGCGGGAGAGGAAGGAAGACTTGGGCCGAAAGAGGCCCAAAGAGAGGAGAGAGGATTTTAATTGTTTTCTTTTTATTTTAATTGATTAAATGAACTTTGTGACTTTAAAACTATTTCTCGAGCTCCGAAAATTCGCGGAAAATTCCGGAGAGTATTTTAGGGCACAAAGAATATTGCAAAATATTCCCGGCCAATGATTTTTAAGGGAAAATTTTAATTCTCCCATTATTTCACTTGATTAAATTGATTTAACTTTTATTTAATTTCTAGAAAATGTATTATTAATTGATTTTTAAACCCGAACGAAAATCGGAGCGTTACAACAATTCATTAGAGAAACTATCTCTTGTTCTATCTCTTAGATGATGTGTACGATTTATGAGCTAGCAGTTGTCTTCAAAGGACCTTTGAAGGAGGCCTAACATGGGGAAGACTAGGGAGTAGTCTTGTCTAGTCAGTGACAATCCGATAATATCAAATGCGTAACAACAGCATGCCGCATGCGTGGCTGTCTACATCCCCGGGCCGCCGGCCGCACCACAGCGTTTCATCTGTGCGGTGTTTGGGCTTCGATCTTGAATACTAGCGGCATACCATGCCTCAATGGAACGAATCACGCTGCCTATATGTCCCATCCAATTAAAAGTTGCTATATTTTAATATGGAGGGAGTAGAATGGAGGAAGTGTCAAGTGTCAACCAGCTTTTCAAACTAATCGGGGTAGTCGTTTTCGTTGAGGACTAGCACAAACAACTAGAGTGGAAAATAACGGCGCATGAGACAAGCTATTACTGGGCCGTTTTCGAGAAAGGCTGCTGATACTTGTGCTCAAATCGGCCCATCAGGAATAGTGCGTTTGGCCGATGATGATTCGACAGTTCTTAAAAATAAGGAAGATGATGTGAGACTTTTTTTTTAACCAATAAAGATGATGTGAGTGAGACAGTTGCCAGTTGCCACGGATGAAGCTTGGGATTGGGAGTTTCCGAATTTGGTATCAATACCGAGCTCACATACGTACGTGGCGAGGGACCACAGTGTTGATACATACGTGCAGTCATTGCTAGTGCTAACACAACTCGCGATCCACGAGTCAACACACCCATACATGCACGAACTCAACCACAATCCCATACATGCACGAACTCAACCACAATGATTAAATTTCCTAGCTAATTAAGCCAGACAGCTACTGTGACGACCGGCTGCCTGCTCGTCCTGGTACGTACGTTCACGTCCAACCGGTCGGCCTGATGTCACAGTCCAGTACAGATGTCGGCCTGATGGAACGTCCTCTCGTACAATGCAACACAATTGCAAATGTACAGTGTTGCATTGCACGAGAGTTCGTTCCATGCACTGGTAATTCTTAAATTTGTACCATATATGCGTACGATCAATCGATCGATCCTCTCATCGACGACGTCCCAGCAGTCTCCCATGCACTCGTGTCGCGCGTGTACCGCGGCCACACCGTGTCCGCGATCCGCGCCGCGACGATGCGCTGCACGTCGCCGTCGTCACCGATCAACACACGGTGATCCGCTGCTGCTGCCGCCCCGAACGTTGACTGATCGTACTGGCCGAAACAGTAGTCCATGTCGGCCATCTGCGCCGCCGCCGCCTCGTCCGCCACGCTCTCGTCCGCGGCGCTCGGCGAGTGTCCCGCCGCGGACGCCACGAACGCCGCCTCTGGGGCCGATGTCGGCCAGATCAACGGCGGCGGAGCGGCTGCGGCGCCTCCTCCGCTGATGACCGCCGCGAGGCACGTGACGATGGCGGCCTCCTCTTCGGCGGCGCTGCCGCCGCCGCCGACGGCGTGGGGTAAAAGAAGACGGCTAAAGAGGCCGGCGCCGTTCATCGTCAGGTCCAACATTTCCGCCGGCGGGGAGGAGGACGACTGTCGTTGCCGGCTCGTCGTCGTCGGCGAGCTACCTGCAGTGTTGGGCGTGCCGGGAACAGCTTGCGGCTGCTGGCACGTGTGCTCGTTGAGGTAGGTGACAAGGAACATGGGCGGCTCGCCGGCGTCCCGCTGCTGCACTTGCTTCTTCGCCGCGCAACTCCGCTCGCGGCTGAACGTGCACTTGAAGTACAACCTGCATGCGTTAGGTGACACGACGGGATGAGAGTCCTCTATCATAAATGTTATTATCAGGATGTGGATTTTCATCTCTCGAGGAATATTACCTCGTTGTCTGCATGTCATCTAAATAGTTATCAAATTTTTTTAAAAAAAATAGTAAATATATTAATACGAAATATATCACTCCACAAACATATAAAATCAAATTTAACCTATACATGTTGCAACAAAAATAACAAGTTAGACTAAAAATAGTTATTGCACATTCGCAACTATATTTTTTTTATCTTTGTTACAACTTATAACAGTTGAATTTAAACTTGCATGTTTGTGAAGTGATATATTTTATATTAATCTATGCTGCTATTTTTTTATATTTTTTATGACCATTTAGGTGACATGCACTAAATGAGGGGTTATCCCTTCAAGGGATGAAATCACTTTTTCTTATTATTTTACACACATGTGTAATATCATTGTTACAGAGGACGTGAACCGGCACGACGAAGCATAGGTCAAGTTAAAGAATTAATTCAAGTGATTTGTTTTGGCAAGTGTATGGCTAAAACATGCCGCCTAAGTTTTTGTCTAGACTTTGAATTATTTGATCGAGGAGTACGTGTGTATGTACGTGTATGACGATTGACGACGAAGGTTAAGGTTGACCATGTTGACGGCAAAGTCAAGTCACTGGACTGGACATTGATATGCTGCATGCATGGATGCATTTCTGTAATATTGAACTTCCAGAAAGCATGTTCTGATCTGATGCTAGCTATCAACTGACTCAGTCTGTAGTCCAATGGACTAAAACAGCTAGGTTAATTACTCTGAAATTGACTTGGACATTGTGTGTGTTGCAGTGTATATTGGTTAATGCTTACCAAATCTGGAGGTTGACATAACAGTTCTTGGTAGTACTTTAGGAATCATGTGGTTTAAGTTGTGGTTAGTTAAAATTGGTAAAGTACCATGCATATTCTAGCGAAACAAGTAGAAAGTAGAAACTACACTCTACCCACCTTAGATAATTGCTGTCCTGAATGTTCTTTTGCCCGTATTTTCTCCACTGGTAGCCATCCTTGTACGGGGAAGGTGTAATAATCTCCGTCCTCGTAACCACCTCTTCTCTGCCATTTCTGACAAGAACCTCTTCACTCCTACAGTAGTATTCCATATATATCAATTTGTCATCAACAAAAGCAATTATCGATTCAGAACATATTGTAAACATCGATAAGAACTCTTCTGTTTACCTAACGCGTTTAACCCTCGCCGGAGTGTGCAAGCAAATGCTATCGTCAGTCCTCGTCTCCGGCGCCGTCCTGGTCACTCCTTCCGGTCGTCTGCTGCTGTTGCTGCAAGGCTTCAGCATGTAGAGAGACACCATGAACACTCGCCCGAGCTCTCTGCTAACATCGACGGCCTCCTTCTGGCCGCGGCTATCGAGGGGGCCTTCGAGCAGCGCCTGGAGCTTGGCGCTGAGGCGGCGGCCGCCGGCGAGCTCCCGGTACAGCTGCTCTATGGTATCTTGACCAAATGCCATCTTAATTTGAGCTGAAACTTGAGGCACCCTAGCTAGAGCTTTTGACAAAGTGAGAAACTGAGAATCCTTTCAATTTGCAACGCAGAGGAGTTGAGCTTGAGTAGCTGCAGTAGGCAGCTTTGAAGCTAGCTGCTACTCCAGTATTTATAGACAGGCCGACAGTCTGCATGCAGTGGTCATCAGCCTTGCAATTGTCAGTTTTCTTCAGGGATGCTCCACCAGTTTCAGCATATATAATTTGGGTCTGACTAGCTCAAACCCTGTTCATTAATTAATGTTGATCATTGATGTCAACGGCTGGGCGATTGATTTATTCTGGTCTTCTGACCGATGGATCAATCGATAGATTATCTTAGATGGGTTGACTGGTTAGGCTAAGCTTGTGCTCTCTCTCACGGTACATACATATTGAACTGGAAATTTCGGTCTCTTCATCTGGACGTCAGTTAAGTATAGTTGACATATGAAATGGTAGTAGTAATATAAACTACAATCCTGTTTATTTTATTAGTCTACTTTGAGCTTGCAATAAAGTATGTGGCGAGCGATGCAATTTTTTTCAAACGCTCGTGTCAGTTGATTTTCCAACTTCACTCCCAGAAGAGACGTCGGACAGTGACTCCCCTGTGCCATAAAAACTGGACAGCAACATTGCGATGTCGAATGCATAGTAGAATTCATAGAAAAACAAGGAGTAGGTCCAAAGGAGACCGGCCTTAATTATGTGCCTCAAAATCTACAGAAACATGGTACATGTCAAGTGATGTCCATGTGCCTATGAGGATGTGTTTAGTTCACGTCAAAATTGAAAGTTTGATTGAAATTGGAACGATGTGATGGAAAAGTTAAAAGTTTGTATATGTAGAAAAGTTTTGATGTGATGTAAAAGTTGAAAGTTCAAAGAAAAAGTTGGACACTAAACCATACCTGAATTCTGAACATACAGAAGGTCAAGTGATGCTCAGAAGGAGTTAATTTTTCACCAACTTGCCGATCGATCGTCTGATGGTCAAGGAGAGTGATCTGTGCCCTTGAATTGTAGACCTGGAGTCAACTACAGTGCCTCAATTTAGAAATAGTAGAGATAATTTAATTCAATCTCCACTCGCAATTAGAAACTTCTAACGACTCGATCTCAACTGATCTAAGCTCAAAGGTTAAATCTGACTGATCTAGCTTCTAAAGTTATATATGTGAGATGCTCCTAATCGTACCTACCAGAGTCAATGTCCAGTTATTTTCTTTAGCACAAGTCAATGCCCCAATCATAAGACAGAACTGTGTCCTAGTTTGCTACTATGATTACGATTCCTTGTTTTAAGTATGTACGATCCGTGTACATACTCCCTCCGTCCTAAAAAAAAAAGATAAACCCTGATTTTCATGTCCAACATTTGACTGTCAGTCTTATTTAAAAAAATTATGAAAAAAATTAAAAAGACAAGTCACGCATAAAATATTTATCATGTTTTATCATCTAACAACAATAAAAATACGAATTATAAAAAAAATTTATATAAGACGAACAGTCAAAATTGGACACGGAAACCCAGGGTTTGCCTTTTTTTTTTGGACGGAGGGAGTACAATACATTATTGATTTTGGCTGCAGTAGCTCAAGATTCAAGAGTCAAGATCATATGGTGTAGTGACCTCTAATAAGATAGCCTTTTTTTTTCTTTACGAGACCCACACCAATCAAAGGACTGGTCCTACCCTAACATATTTGGGTGTATTCCGGAGAGAACGTTAAGAACTTCTCCCCTCACACATAAAACTAGGTGACTTACATGATTAACTAAGTATTAGCTTAAATACTTGAAAATGGAATGATATGAATTTTTAAAGCAACTTTTCAATAGTTTTTATTTTTGCAAAACCATATCGTTTAGCACTCCGGAAAGCGTGAGAACATGTAGTATAACACACCCTTAAAATATCAAATTTGTTCATCCGCTTTCGGAGTGACTTGCTAAGGGCATGTACAAGGTGAGAGAGCATAGCACTAGTTTCTTTTTAACTCGTCGCCGCATAAGGGGGTGCTAAGTGTCTACAGTGGTGGGGACCGACTGAAAGTGAAGTGTGGCCTGTAATAAGTGCCAAGTAAATATACAATGATAAGAAATCAGAAAACAATTTTCTCTGAATGCCAAATATATATTTTTAAACGAACTATACCAAACAATGAGAGTTTTATATTAATATAATAGGAAAAAAGAATACAACACTACTATAGCACTAGAATAATCAGGAAAACAAAAACAAAAACCACCACTATACTATACGCTGACAGCACCTACACATCCTGAAGACCTAGCACATACCGCACCAACTGCCGCTAAGTAGGATCGAGCACCGCGGAACCAAGACAAGGAACCACCACTTAACTACCGACCAACACACCTCCAACCAGTTAAAACAACTAGACCATCTGGACAAAGCGATAAGGACTACAGAAGGAAAGCGCAATAGAGAAGAAAGACTCACTCGTCCCTCGTACACACCCGTCGCCGTCCAAAATGTTGGTAGGGTCCTGCCATCGTCAACCTCCACAAGCCACGGTCCCTCGTAAGGGCCTTCATCCCTCCACCAAACAGCTGAACTCCTCCTGGGGGAGCGAGCAATAACCACAAAAGCTGCCACACTTGGTGACTGATGTAGCCATATTCCTTCATGTCCCTATAGCACTAGTAGAACCCTAAGATGCGCCACCACCCTCCAGCCAGTGATCTCCTTCTACCACGCACACGTCGTGGTCATCGCTGCATTGCACTGGTATATTGCACGATGTGCTCCCCGGTCTTGTGCACGTTGTCTTGTGCTGCTAATGTGCACAAGACATTTAAATGGGTGTTGTTGCTTTCCAACTTCAGCAGCAACCCCTGAGATGGGACCCCAAGTGCACATCAGCGGCATAAGAGGGGAAACAATTTTGGAGCTTAGGAAATGGGCATAGCCCCATTTAGCTTCCGGTCTTAAAATGGGGACTATTTATTGAAGATGCTATAAAGGAGACAAAAAAAATAAATCATGAGCACTTCATTTCCTTTTTCAGCACGGGGAGCGTAAGCACCTTTTGTCATTTTGGATCTAAACACTAGGGTGGAAAAATGGCAACTTTGTATTTGGCATTTGGCAGTCTGGACTAGCAAATTTCGCCAAAAAGTGCATAGGGACACGGACCACCCCTCACGGACGCGCAATACCCCCACTCGCTCTCTCTCTCTTCCGTCGCACCCTCTCTCTCTCTCGCCCCCAAAAAAATCCCCATCCGCTTGCTCCGCCTCCTCCGCCGATCTCCCCCGCGGCTCCGCCTCTTTCTCCCTTGCTCCGCCTCCTCCTTCGCCGATCTCCCCCGCCGCAGGCGCTCACGCCCGCTCCGCCTCAGCCGTCGCTCACGCTCGCTTCCGACTCCCTTGCTCCGCCGTTGATTTCGCCCGCCGCACCAGGTCACGGCAGCCTCGACCTCTGCCGATCTCCCCCGCCGCACCAGTCCGGGGTGGAGATGGACGGCGACGGATACGGCGATGGCTCCGGCACAAGGGACTTCATGTCGCAGTCCGATTCACACGCCGACCACGACGAGCTCGACCCCTACACCGACTCCCTGTACTACACTGGATCCCGCAGCGGCAGTGCCTCCAGGATAGGCATGGCCGCCCTCGACCTCAACTCCGGCGGGGATGGGTGGCCGGATTTGGGGAGCTACGAGGGTCTTCTTTGATCCGGCTCGCAAGGAGGCGTCATCAGCGGAGGAGGGGGCCACCTTTGGGGCGGCGCACATGGACGCGGCGTCGGCGGATCTGGGAGCCACCATCGCTCCGCCTCGCAAGGAGGCGGCTCTGCTGATCTCCCTCCCGTGCGTGCTGTGAGTCGGACACTGGGCTTACGCTCGGCCCGCCCTGCTCCATGTGGCCGAGGCGCCACGGCAGCTCGCGCCAATTCCTCACCGTATGGAGGTGGCCGTTCGGCGCCCGCGGCCGGAGCCAGGGGCCGTGGTGGTGGTCGAGGCACGCAGGCGACCGGAGCCAGGGGCCGTGGTGGTCGTCGATCCACATCCACGGCTGCCACCGTCTCTGAAGTCAACTTGGACGTCGACTCCGACAACGTCGAAGATGCCGCCGAGCTCCAAGAAATTTTCCAAAATCATGGGAAGGTATGCCGACCAACCATTTCATCTTCGTGGCTGTGCTGCTGTGATGTCCTGTGATTCCCTTTGCTTCAATTTTACCATTTCCATTTCATAAACCTGTGCTGTGCTGTGGTGTAGTACGATGTAGTTGTGTGCTGTTGTGTGGTGCCCTTTGCTTCATCTGTGACCATATCATAAAGATGTGCTGTGGTGTGATTAGGTGTGATTAGTTTGGAGATTTTAGGAGTTATGTTGCCTTGTGATTTATATAACCGAGCAAAAAATTTGTGATTCAAAAGTTTATATAGGTGTGATATGTTTATGTCTTGCACTCTGATTCCTGTGATCCAGAAGCTATGTTGCATTGTGGTTTATGTCTCCTGGACTGTGATATGTTTAGGTTTAATATACTTGTGCTTTGTGATTTGCTCTATTAAGTTGTCATAACTGAAGATGTATTTGTTTCCCTTAAATCGTGTTAAATATTTTTTGCTTACCGTTATGGGTGGGTTTAGGTTAAACCTGACAGGGCCAATTGGACAGAGGACAATACCAGCTTGCTGTGTGAAATTTGGGTTGACCAGATCAATAAGGGAAACTGCGTGAATGGACTCATGCAGAAGACTGGGATGAGGGAGATTATCGCTGCTTATCATGCAGCAACCAACCTGCGGCATGGTAGATCCCAAATTACTAATAGGATTAGGCAACTGAAGGGATTGTGGCAATTCATTCAAACCCTACGCACAAACACTGGATTCAATAGAATATGACTACTGTAGTGTTGTAATATTTGTGTTGTATGGACTTTTAAAATTGTGCACTGGGACTTTTAATATGTATGTGGACATTTTAATGTTTCTATGCTATGGACTTTTAATAATTATTTGGACATTTTTTTGTTGATATGCTACGTACAATTTTGCGAGCTATTGATACATTTGAACTATCTGGAAATGGTCATTTGGGAACTGTTGATACATCTGTGCACTGTCAAATTGTGGCTTGTACCAGTAAGAGATGAATCTCTTGTTTTCAACTTAGCAGCAGCAGCATCATCATTTGCACTACCCTCACGGCCGCAGCGCGCATCAGCAATAGCGGCAGCAACGACAAGCAGCAGCAGCGGCAAGCAACAAGCAGTACAAGCATGAGAGAGAGAGAGAGCTACATGTTTTGTGGGGGGGGGGGGGGGGGGAAGCAATTAATATGGGCAAATATGTCTTTATGGAAGAATGGTAAAACTTTTGTATGCCTCTAAACACCAACTTGCAAAAATGCAATGCCAAAACTTTTGCTACCAAAACTTTGCCATTTGCCATTTGCTATTCCAAATGCCTCTAAACATGGCCTTAATTATTCCCTGCTCAATTAGTGAGCAAGTAACCATTACGTCTCCCGCAAAGAATTAATATGTATTCCCCGTACTACTCAATTCCTGATCAAATAATGGTCACGGTTAATTTTAAGGTCGTGACCGTACGTGAATTTGCACTCGGTCCGTTACATCAGTAATTATCATCACCACCATTACAGTCATCAGGGAGATAAACATGGTTACCAAGGTGCCCGTGGTCATAGTCCAAACCATACCTGAGCGCGTCCCACGTCGAGAACAGGTCGCCTCCGTCGTTCATCGTCGTCGTGAGCGGCGGCGCCGCCAACGCCTCGGCTGCCGTGAACGACGACGGCGACGCGGCCGCGGCCGTGGCCGGCAGCTGGCCGTCGGGAGGGAACGCGTGCGGCTGCTCGTGCAGCTGATGGCTGCTACTAGAATCGAAGCTCAGCATCATGAATGGCCTTCTTCTCGCTGTATTTTGCTGCTGTCGTTCTCGCTCGGTCTGCTGCTGATGAGCGCCGCCGCCGCCGCCGCCAGCGGAGGAGCCGAACCTGAGGAGGTACGCGTCGCCGGCGGCGCCCGGCGGCGGCTGCTCGGCCACGACGTCGGGGGTCGGGACGGGCGTGGTGTTGCAGGTGTGCTCGTACGTGTAGGTGACCCTGTACAGTGGCGGGTCGTCGTCGTTCTCCTGCTGCACCAGCTTGGAGGCAAGGCACTGTCTGTCCTCACGGTAAGAGCATCTGTAATATAACCTGCGATTCCATTTACAGTACAGATGCATAAGATTTAAATGCATCTTAAGATTAGGATCTCGCCGCGCGGTTTTACCACAAATTAGGTTGATTTTGAACTCTGAACTTTTTTAAGTACTAGTACAGTTACTATTGTTAATAGTTTGTTGTAGCCAAGTAGCCTACTGCTGACCATGCATAATATTTCAATGGAAATCCCAATATGCAAGAAATAAATTGACTAAAAGCTACTTTTAGATGGGATTGCTACATTCACAACACACATATTTTTTTCCCAAAAACTTTTGTATGAGAACTTTTAGAAAAACGTCTACCAGGAAAACATTCATCCAGAAAGCTTTTATTTTGAAACTTTCATCAAGAAAACTTTCATATGAAAACTATCATCTGAAAATGTGTGTGCTAAATTAACCATAACTTTGCTAGATAGTAATTTCGAGTTTTTGTTGTTTGACTCCTGGTAGCTTAATATTCCCATCTGTCAATTTTACTCTTCACTTTTTTATAGTAATTCACAGCAAATGAAACATTCTAAAATATTATAACAATTTATTTCTATAATATATTCTCATAGTAAACAATAAAAGAACAACCTAGATGATTGAAACCAACAAGAGCACATATTATATCATTTCTTAATATGTCATTTCTCAATATGAACAGAATGCATGACTTAAAACTTTTTACAGCTGATAGTCAACAGATAAATAATTTAGGTTCTATTTAGATAATGACTAATTTAATTACCTAGGGAAAGCAGAGTCCTTGATGTTCTTCTGGCCATACTTCCTCCACAAATGACCATCAAAATGAGGTGTGAACGTATGTTTCACCAATGATGGTCTATCCTTCCTGCAGCAATACTCCGTGTATACAGTTCAAATAGAAAAAGTTAGCAAGTAATTTTACAATGTTATGAAAATAATAAAACCTGCTATATTAATTAGGATACATCAAAAGTGACAATATATACTTCCTCGGATCATAAATATTTATTTCATGCAATTGATTTGCCCATAAAATTTAACCATTCATCTTATTCAGAATTTTAGTACAAATATATAAAAATATATGTTACGTTTAAAGTAACTTTAATAATAAAACAAGTCACAAGAAAATAAAATATAATATATATTTTTTAAATAAGACAAATGATTAATGTCAAATGTGTCAAATATTTATGATCGGAGGAGGTAATATAGAAAAAAATGTTCCAATATACATGAATAATATGCAAAGAATCGCACATGACTGATAATATACAAGAAAAAGATACCTCGAGTACAGAAATAGTTCTACAGGACTAAATTAATAATGAACGATCGATGTTTACATGAAGTTAAAAACAAGCACCATTACATATATAATTGCTGGCCTAATTAATTATGTGGCCAGATATTGCAACATGCACGCTTATATATATTTGAAAAACATAACCTTGTCAGTTAGTTGTTGTACAACACTAATGACTACTTGCAAACAAAGTCGCATTATAAGTACAACATATAACAAATTAATTATGTGTACTATATATGTATATATATGTATGTAGTATCCAGGGTGTATTTACCACGTACTATATCTGAACTTAGCGAGATTGAAGTACTGTGTTAGTTGTTTCGTGTTAGCATGGCCTCTATATCAAAATCGACTCAGTGCAATCTTATGACGCAACGGTAGTACTACCACCGTTTCACAATGTAAGTCATTCTAGCATTTCCCGCATTCATATTGATGTTAATGAATTTAGATAGATATATATGTCTAGATTCATTAACATTAATATGAATGCATTTCCCGTATTCATATTGATGTTAATGAATCTAGATAGATATATATGTCTAGATTCATTAACATTAATATGAATGTTGGAAATGCTAAAATGACTTACGTTGTGAAACGAATGGAGTAAGTTCGAAGCTTAGTCTTTTAGTTTTTTTTTCTCTTGTTTCTTAGTTATGAGATTTAAAATTTAAGTATTCTTTATCCTTTAAGTACTGTGTATATCCCCGATTTTTTATCCATTGTTAAAAAGAAGCATGCATATGGGTGAGTTGGATGGCCTCCATCAGAGTAGGACATGTACACGAGACATGCATGTTGAAGGGGGCCTAGCTAGTAGTAGTTGCTTGATCTCCGTTATTTGCATGCATGCTTATGTCAATGTCTGGGTCATTAGCTTATTTAAAGGGAAATGGATCTGAATCTGTTGATAAGTTGGTAAATTAAATACGTACCCCTTCTAAATGGGTTACCACCTCCCCCGAACGCATGCCATATGAGACATGAAGAATCTAGAATAATTAAAGATTCTTTTTTCATCAGACAGATTCAGAAATGCTTCTCTAGCTTTTCATGTGATCCATAGTACTGTGGATCTATGGAAACTAGCTGGAATGTGAGTATATATATTAGTGGTGCCCACTTTTTATTGACATGTTGAGAATAGTGGATGAGCCAGGACCACAAAAATAATCTAATAAGAAGGGGCGCAAAGCAGTGCTAATTAACACTGTTCTTAACATTCCTAACAGTACACAAATTTATATGATTTTAAGATAGAATAATTTCAGCCAAATTCATGACTTGTATAATAATGGAGCCTAGACACGACCGAGGAACAATGAAATACATGCTCTCCCAACCTTTTTATCAACAGTTAAGTTGATATTCGAACTTGAATTTGTTTGGACAATAGGTTAATTAGCTAGATCAGCTGAAAATACACTTATATATGCATGGTAGTTTTACTGACGCTCTCGATTCTTTTATAAGGATGAAAGGCAACGGTTTCAAGTGTACTGTCAAAACGTTCAAATAATGGGGTATAACTTGTGAAAAATAGCGACTAATCTTTTGATGTTGTCCTTTAGAAATTTTTGGTCGGTTTTACTATGCAATGGCATGGCTATATATATCACCCTTTCTTTCTTTATTTTAATCTCAACAAATTCATCACATTGATCTTGATATTGCATGTTGCAAGCATCATTTTTTTTGTGGGAGTTGCTACAATAAGCTGGGCGGTTTGTTGTTTGAATAGAAATTTTGTGATCCTTAATATGGAAGCAAATTAATTAATTCATTATTTCTTACTTACATATGATTTTCAAGGCAACATATATATACTAGGCAAAATATAGGTTGCAACTGCTTAGAAATTAAAAGAGAGGGGCCGAGAGCTGAGGAACTGCTTAGAAGGTAATCATGCTTTTCCCCTACATATTCATGTGTTGGCGAAAGGTGGTCATGGTGTAGCCATGTAGTGATCTTGGAATTGCAGCTATGGAGTTGTTTGCAGGTTCGTCGGATGGAATTTTAGAAAAAAGAATTGTAGCTTGGTGTTAAGTTTGGTGTTTGAGAATCTGAACTTTTGTTAATTATGTTTAATGCTTCCTCGTGTGAGGGCTAGAGTCTAGAACTCGTTTTTATTTTGTTGCCGATGTACATCCTTCTTTGAAGGATGTAGAGACCGGGTTGATATATTCATTAATTATCTGAAAATATAAGAGTATGGTTCCTGTGTGTGTGTGTGTGTATGCTCTGATCTTCTGACAAATGTCACTGATATCTTGCTGTACTAATATCTAGATTTCAATCTATATATCAAGATCAAAATTTAATTGTTGGTGTGAATATATAGTGGCTAAACACTATTCATGAATCTTTGTGAAATAATGTGTGTGCAACGTACGCACTTCAGATTGTCACATGCAAAAATATTATGATCAATGAAGCAATGCCGTCAGAAATGCCCTTTTCTCATTCTTAAAATGAAAAATGGCCAGAATTGAATAAGCTCTAGTGTTCACTTACAAATAGGTGTAGTTCGAGACAGGATTAATCTGAGTGGATAGAGAAAGAGTTAAACGTCTCCCGTAAATAATAAATGGCTTAGTGTTCCACATAACTGATCAATATGTCCTTATCTAATACTATGAGTTAATTTGATCAAGTCTACGCACTAGTTCATACGTATGCGCTTGGTCTCTGACCGTGTACACTCCCCCCTGGAAGACTTGTAGTCAACTCACACTATGAAGGGTCCTAATTCCCGATTAATAATGTTCATGTCCAAAAAAGAAAGAAGTTTACCAGCATAGGAATATATATATAAATGAAGGATCAAAACATTTTGTTTAGAACTAAGGAGTTTCAATTTGCCATTGCATTAATTGAGGTTGAGGCTTGAGGACAACAGAAGAAAAACTGTATCAAGGATACATAGGTCAATAGTAAGAATAAGTCAAAACACTAACACACAATACTACACAAGTTGATCAGGATAACACTGTATAGTTAGGGGGATGGGAGTGTATGAGAATGAGAATCACAAGTATGAATAAGTTCATGGATATATCTTAAACTTAACTAGGAAGGAGAAATGGTTAGTGGAACTTTATGGATGCTGCATGCATGAAGTGATGAAGATGGACTGCCGACATGCATGTGCTTGTTACTTTCTTGTTTCCTTTAATTTTTACCTCTTTTAGAAGAAAAGTATATGCTTGTGAGTCATAAAATACTACTAATTGTGGACTATTACTGCTAAGGAAAGAAACAAAGGTTGGTTCGATCAGTTGGTAATTCGATATATATATATAACAAAGAAGATTCGAGACTTCTCTATGTGCATTCTTTGTTTTCTTGTTATAAGCTAGCATGCTTAAAATGTGCAGGAAGAGCTCCAATCTAGAACTAGTAGTAAGGTAGGGTTCTCAAGCAATTAATGGAGCCCTCCACTATGGCAAAGATGCATGGACATATGTTAAGAAAATGGAACAACATATGATCACTTCGGGTTCCTAAGTGTCAAAAAGAAATGGTCTTCATTCAAAGGAGGAGAATATGCATCTTCTTGGTGAATTATGAAGAATGCTGAAAATGGCTATTAGCATATATGTGATGTTTGATGATTTTAATTTATTAATGGCATGTCCTTTTACTGTAGTGCAGAATCTCAATCCAAACTTGAGCAAAACATTATGCCCCCCCCCCAAAAAAAAAAAGCGTATTAATTTTCCGCTTTCACCTCAGCTCATGAAATATAGCTAGCTCACTCAAAAGTAGGACAACTCAAAGGAAGAAATTAAGATCGATGGAGGAAAGAAAAACCTTGATAGTTGGGGTAGTATGCATCCATTTAATTGGTTTAATTTTTCAATCTGTTTGTTTTAATAGTGCAGACGAGCTAGCGTTATCACCCTCAATCGTACAAGGTTTCGTCATTCTTTTTAGTAGTAATTAAACCATTAAATTCAAGTTGCAATATAGTACATACTATCTACCAACCCCACATATAGATCCTAACATTGCCTGTTTATGACCATGTTAATGTTTCTTCCTCCTCCTTAATTTCCCCAAAAATTTCCCCATATTGGCATACCACACAGAAGCCAGAAACTATAATTCCCATTCTCCTTAATTTTGGCAGACTCAAGAAACGAAGAAAAAGAAAGGGCAAACAGGTACACACAACTCAAATCAGCAAAGCGCAGTTAGGATCAGCGGCTCCAGAAATTAATCCATTCAAGACAGCAAGAGAGGTAAACAAGAAGTGGTTGGAGAGAGGCAAAATATATGAACGAATCGACGAAATTAAACACGAAGCAATCAAGGAGATACAGGTACTAATTAACAAATTAACATCTGTGTGTGCTAGCTTAGCTAGCTCGTGTAGTATAGTACCTTCTCTTCCGGCCGTCGCGCGGCGAGGACTCCGGCGGCGAGATGCCAAAGACGCCGCCGCCCCCGGGAGGGCTGTACGACGCCGACGCGGATCCCACGGCTTCCTGCGCGCTCGCCTCCTCGAAGTCGAACGACTGCTCCCTCTTCAGCCGCGGCGACGCCATTGATTCTTCAGGCCAGCTCTCTCTCTCTCTCTCTCTCTCTCTCTCTCTCTCGTCAGCTAGAACAAGAGCTAATGCCTTGCAAGCTAGCTAGAAGCTGCAGGCAAGGGGAGTGGGAAATGGAGGAGGCAGCTGCGTCGCTTTCGAGCTGCTCGCCGGAGACTTTAACTTTGGGAGGGGAGCAGGGCTATGCCTACGCTTAATTAGCCACGGCGTGCGGTACAAGCACGGTCAATAGTTTATGGTTTGGTTTTGTTGTCAAGTCAAGAGGCGTTGCTGGGTCTTTTGATATGTTTAATGTTTACAGATATACATTAGATTCGAGAGGATGAATCTGCTGCCCCCTCAAACAATTAATCATGTGCCCTATTATATGGGCCTCAAGCATTGGCCCCCTCTTGATGACTTCTTTTTCCCCTTAAATTAACTTAATTTCTTGGTCAGTATGCAATTAGGTTGTGTGTATGTATGTATACATATATGTACATATATATGTATATGTATATGTATATGTATATATATGTATATATACATATATATATGTATGTATATGTATGTACATATATGTATATGTGTATATATATGTATATGTGTATATATATATGTATATGTATATGTATATATATGTATATGTATATGTATATATATGTATATGTATATATATATATGTATATATATATATATATGTATATATATATATATATAGCAGATGCTAGCTAGCTTGCTCTCAATGCATGCACAATTTCTCATATCGTTTTTTTTTTAGTTTTGAGGATAGTTTCTCTAGTACTACTATGAGTGTATTATATATGTTTTGCCTCTTGTTTATTGCGACCTTGGTGAGGCTCTTGAACTGACGTAAGCGTCCGGGTGCGATGCGGGCATGCTTTTTTACTGGCAAATTGCAGCAACGGACACAAACAATGGGTGGCAGTGGATTAGATGTATTTGCAAGTTGGGATTACAATACTGGGGAACGCCATCGTTAGCCAGGATGGTGGAGGCTACCAATCCCGAGCCACTCTCACGTTTCGGTGCAGCCTGCATGCAGCTAAGCATTTTGCTGCAAGGTGCTGAAAGAAGGCTATTTTATCAGGAGAATTTGTGAGGAAGACGATTGTATATGATACATTTATATCTTGAGGGTTTGCTGATCTTGTTTAACACGGTTTAGTTGCATTGCCAGCGGAAGTCACTACCACAGAACACCTAATAGGTGCCGGTTGGGAATCCCACAAAGGTGCCGGATTTCCCAACCGGCACCACGAAGGCGGCACTGATGTGAAGAGAAACAGGTGCCGGTTCCTAAACCGGCACCTTTGTGGTTCCACGAGTAAAAAAAAGCCGGCTCGATGCATCGAGCATGCACCTTCTCCATCCATAGCAAGAAAAAATCATCATCCATCCATTCCATATCCATCCACAGCAAGAACAAATCGTTATTCAATTCAATCCACAACACAAATTACACGAACTATTTGCATGCATCAGAGGTAAAGCAAAAGAAAAAAAAAAACAAATCAAGCACAGCGCCTCGCCTGATCCGACCACCCCCGAGCACCGGTGGGAGTGGCGGCGCCGGATCCAGCCACCCTCGAGCGCCGGTGGCCGGTGGGAAGCACCGAATCTGGAGGAGGGCGGCCTGCCCCACGTCGTCATCGCCCCCCAGCTTGGATGTTTCGGTGACCGCCGCCGCTAGGTAGCACGCGTCGGCCTCCCCTTCCCTCGGATCTGATGGAGGGGAGGGTGCTGCCGCCGTGAGGAGGTGCTGCCGAGGGGAGGTGAGGGCGTGCCCACAGGAGAAGACTCCGCCGCCGCCGCCAACTCAGGAAAGGAGGAGGAGGAGGAGGAAGGGAGGAGAGGAGGATGGCGGAGAGGGGAGGAGGAGGGGGACGATGGAAAGTGGAGGAGAGGGAGTCGACGGAGAGGGTGCGAGAGAGAGAGAGAGAGGTATGGGAGAGAAGAGAGACGAGTGGAGGAGAGGATAAGGGTCACGCACTCGCGCACAATCTTATCCGAGAGGTCGGCTTGCCAGCTCGGCTCCGTTTGATATAGGTGTTAATTTTTAAATAAACCGACACCTATAATATTTTATAGTCGGTTTTTAATTAACCGATACCTATAGTGTATTAAAGGTTCTTATTTTTTTGAAAAACCGACACCTATAGTATATATAGGTGGCGGTTTTATTGTAGAACCAACACATATATTTTGGTAAAGGTGTTGGTTTTTTTATTTTCAGTCTATGGGTGGTGGAAAAAACACTATAGGTGCCGGTTTTAGCTGTTCCGGCACCTATAGTGCCGACTTGTATGTGACTTTTTGTATTAGTGATAGTCTTTTCTAACGAAATACAAGTGTGAGATCTCATATTGATATACCAGGAAAAAAACAAGACCATAGTATTAGCTAGAAGGCTATGATCGGGAAAGGAAACAAAAATAACAGTCACACCACACACCTGCGACAAAATTAATTCTTTGAGAAACAAACGTGAGCACAACGCCCCAACTACACCAGACTGTCTCCGTCCATGCCTTTGGGTTTGAGAGGGAGAGAACGAGAGACAAGATGGATCCATTCTCCCCCACGCAGACCCGCCAACATAGGCATCTTGTGGCAGTCAGAAGCACCACTGCAAGATAAACAAAAGTCTGAAGAAGAGATTGGCTTGGGAATGGTCCTTCGAAAACGAGCCTCTAGGAAGGTCGCGACATCAAGAACGTTCCCGTCGCCCACTCCGGTAAACCAGGATGTGGTTTTCACCTGAAGGAAAACACCATGCGAGAGCAAGGAGCCACAACAATGCCCCCAAGAGGTTTACGGTGCCCAAAAGCGTCGCCGCTGTCGACCTCGATTTAGGCCAGTATTTCGCCTATAAACATCCTTTCCTTGCATGTCGTTTTATCCTTGTTGATTCTGTCAACTGCCACCAAATGAACACCTTCAGCGCATGGTTATCGTATTGGCGCCCCACCGCGAGCCAACCCTTGGGAGGATCTATGACCCACCCGTTGTCTAACTCTGGCGAGTCTTTGACAAGTCGGCCACCAGGACCTCACCCGCACATCATCGGAGCAAAAGACCCATGAGCTCTACTGCTGCCAACCCACACCACTGCCCCGTGCCATCCCACCGTCTCCACGTCACCACCATCTCACGCCAGTCGTCGTTGTGAGGCTGGATCCACCGGGTACAGTCTCCTCGTCAACCTTCATCGCACGCGCCTCGCTCCAACTGTCTTCGTCGCCTCCACTGTTGCCTTCCCTCTTCCCTATTGTCAGGCCGCCACCCTCCCTTGCTGGCATGTGCCCGCCGTCGTCGCCTCGCCGGATCCGAGCAGTGGCGGTCTGGATCTAGGTGGCACAGAGCCACCACCACTTGAGACGCCCTGGTGTCCCACTCACGCCAGCCAGCGTCTTCGGGTTTCTGATCGACGGCCGCTGGAGGCTGGACGCTAGAGGCCGCCGGACCGAGCGGGCGCACCACGGTAGATCTGATCGACGGCTAGTTAATTACTGGTGTGGCGTGCGTGCACGCTCCATTCGGTAGTGATCAGCGGAGAAACCGAGTGAGAGAGTTGCGCGCGCGCGGTGGAAATCAATCAACGTCGTACGCCACCGGTGCGCCGTGCAGATGTAGTAGTAGCTAGCCCAGCGTACGTACTATATACCAGCCACATACGTCGCACGACACGGCAGGAAGCGCGCCCGTGGGCCAGGTGCGGTGCCTGGGGAATTTAGGGGGTTAATTGGAGGAGCCTACGCGTCGGGCGCCCGATTGGAGAGGGGAAAAATCGGGCGCTAACATCAGCATGACATATGCGTGCAAAACCACTTTAAACTATTTTTTCTCTTAAATTATTTATCCAAATCATGATCCGATTGCATCATTAAATTCATTGCAATTAATCTTTAAAACAAGACCACACATGGATATATTCCGATGAATTTTTTTTAGCTTATTCTTGAATTATTTTTAAATGTTGCACAATGTTTTAACAAGTATACCGGAATTGTTTCACTAAGTAGATCGAAAATGTTTCAATCGTTTAAATCGGGTGTTATTTCGCCTTATATCAAAACAATGTTTCAGCAAATAGCGAAATGATATTTCGGTTCACTGCAACATTTGATCCATACATAGTGAAACATTATAAGTACACTAGGTGAAACATTTTTGGTGGAACAAAAAATAAAACGAATTCCCTTAATAGAGGGTTTCCAAAATATGTGGATGATTTGTTGCAAAAAAATGTTTCAATTCATTGCAACATTAGATCTATACATAGTGAAACATTGTGAGTACACTAGGTAAAATATTTTTGATGGAACAAATAATGAAACGGATTTTCTTTATAGAGGGTTTCTAAAATATGTGGATGATTTGTTGCATAAGAATGTTTCAATTCACTGCAACATTAGATCTATACATAGTGAAACATTATGAGTACACTAGATGAAACATTTTTTGTAGAACAAGGGGAGGGATATGTGGGTGGGCCCGGGGGTGCACGCGTGGGAGGGAGGGGAAGCGACCGATTTTCTCCCTCCCCCCAGTTGACCGATTCTAAGCATTATCGGGGTTAATTAGTTAGGGATGATCGATGCGGGCATGGCGCAGCCGGGGTTGGCCGTGTACATACCACGGCCGATGCATCACAGGCGTACGGACTTTTTTGAGGATTTAATTGGTCTCTCTGGCAGAGTTGCATGGTGGTGCGCGGCTATGGTATCGATCGATCAATGATCAATCTATATCCCCGATTGACAGGACACGATCACACGATTGGTCGGAACGTACGTGGCTAGCTGTTTTAGTTTAGTGTCCTACCAAATTACCAATAATATACTACCTTTGTATTTTAATATATAACGTTGTCGACGTTCGATGTCGCGATTCCGGTATTTGCATAGTATGGGGATCGTTGGTACTAGAATATACGCGAGACTGAGGTAAAAGAGATGAGACAGTGATTTTTATACAGGTTCGGACCCCTGAATTGTCAGGTAATAACCCTACATCCTGTTGGCTGAAGCCGGTATTGCTCTTATTCACCATAATCACACCAGTACAATATTTGGGGTAGCCTATCTAACTGTTGTCGATATGGCGGTCTGAAGTTCTGACTCGTAGTCGACAACAGGGTAGTCTTCCTCCTCGAGTTCGTG